AAAAGCATTAAATTGGCATTAAAAAGTATTAAAAAGCATTAAATTGGCATTAAAAAGTATTAAAAAGCATTAAATTGGCATTATAAAGCATTAAATTGGCATTAAAAAGCTTTAAAAAGCTTTAAATTTGATCGTTTGATTTCTCTGTAAAGCTCTGCTGTGGTTTGGCAGCGCTTTGAGATGTTTCTGCTCCTGGAATTCATCTATGATCACTGTTTACATCTCACTTTTTCATTATTCAGAGAGTGAAACTGGTTTCCCATCTGGGCCAAAAGCAAACAAACAAAAACCTCAGATAAGATAAGATGAGATGAGATAAAACTATTGATCGTACAGTGGGGAAATTTTCACTTTACTGCAGCTCACTACAGGAGAGAGATAGAGTAAAGAAAGATAAATAAAAGAAAAAAAATACACATTATTGCTGGGCTGCAGTCACATGACCCGGATGACGCCTGAATGTCAGATGGGGGCAGGAAGTGATCTGATTCTGATTTTGGTTCAAAACACAGCGAAATGGGTCACAGCGAGTACACTAATGCCTTAAATGGACTGGCGCAGACAAGATATCGCAAAAAAAAAAAAATAGCGTACATTTAGGATATGATTTATATTATCTTAATAAAAAAAAGAGATAATCAACATAAACTATCTGGTGCTGCAGACCTCATGTTACAGGCTACAATGAGCCAAATGAACGCTTTCAAAAGCCTCGAAGCTACAATTATTTAGTTTCAGGTTGGGTCAAACATTTAGGATCCAAAGAAACTTTAAATGTCTGTTGACTTGTTTCTGCCTGGGTGAGTTATTTTAACAAGTTAGCCTATGATAACAATGCTATCGCTAACGCTAACAAGTTGCTGTTATTTCTATGTGCTTGGATCTACTTGCGAATAATTTATTTAGCTTCTGTAAATTCAAGTAACTGTCCAGGAAAATATCTGACAATGTGATTTAAAACGATACGATCCTGACCTGTTAGAAAACGGTCGCTGCAAACCGTTCGTTTCCACACCTCCTGTTTTTAGCCGTAGAGTTTTGATCCACTTTTGTCCTATTTTTTTCTGCAAGTTTTTTAAATTTAACTCCCTTGTGACACAGCACTTTCAGAACTTGAATAAAACGTCGATATTTCCTCTGATTTGAGCGGCTGCGACAACTGAACACGGCACAGAATTCAGACATTTTGACGCTGAATCAACAGAAGGAAACATGGCTTCATTTACTTCCTGCCCCCGTCTGCATTTCATGACATCAATACTACATCATCTGCAACCCAGCAATACACATGTGATACATAACAGTTAATTAATCAAACTTTAGAGACAGATTATTGTGGTTTATCCAAACAAAACAAACCAAACAACAGCTGTGCGTTCAGTTTGATTAGATTTAGATCCTGGTAAAAAGTGACCTGAGTGATGAGTGGTTTTTATTTAGCAGAGGGAAGGATGGTTTCTGTCCACTAGATGGCAGCACCTTGATCACAGTAGTGATTATCTGTGTTCTGTTGCCATAGAGGACGGAGTGATGCTTATATGGAGCCTGAAGAGCGGAGCTTCATCGTCCTCGGCTCGCTCTGTGACTCAGCTCTGCAGAGGCTTTGTGTTTGCTCCTGACCTTCAGGACTCGTTCAGTTCAGCCAAACCAGTTATTTAATGTTATTGATTCTGTGACGTGATCGAAGAGAAGAGGGCCTCTGAGCTTTGTCCTGTTGTTGTGTGTCCAAAAACACACGTTTATAAATGACACATCACTCCAAATTACATACTTTTTAACCTTGGTTTTTAACTGAGCTGAGGGAACCGTTACAACAACAAGTAAATAACTTGTTGTTATTTGGTCTGAATCCTGTTTTTAGGGTTTTCTAATGAGGATTTTTTTGATGACATCATATAGAGACAGTATTTAAACATTAAGTTTTACCAGCTGGAGAAGAAAGAAAGCTTTGCTAGCTCATGGGAAAAATAACAACAATATAAGGCTTTTCCACTCAGAATCATGTTTTTTGTATTTTCTGCTCAACAAAAGGGGCTTGAAACATTCTTTAAACGTTTATTTAATTTAAGTGACCCGTAGATGAGATATTTATTTATTATATTTTGCCTGCTCCTCCTCCTCTCTGTGAACTAATCCTGGGATTTTCCGTTGCAGAAGCTTTCTCCTGGAAGAAAGTGGAGCCGAAGGGGAAAGGCCCGTGTCCGAGGAGGCGTCAGTGCTGCTGTATGGTCGGAGAGCGCATCATTCTTTTCGGCGGAACCAGGTACTTTAAATATTAACAGTTTGTTCCTTTTATGAATAAAGTGCGACGGCTCAGTGGTTAGCACCGACGCCTCACAGCAACAAGGTCCTGGGTTCAATCCTGGGGTCTTTCTGTTTGGAGTCTGCTTGTTCTCCTCATGCTTCTGTGGGTTTTCTCCGCATACTCCGGTTTCCCCCGCAACACAAAAACATAAATAAATTGCGTTCAGGTCCAGGCCTCCCTTGAAAAATAGATCTGCAATCTCACCGGGGCTTGCCTGGTTAAATAAAAATAAATTTTAATCAAAATAACACTAATTTTTATAACTTTAATTAATATGCCTACTAGAGCTGGGCGATATGATCAAAATTTTATATCACAGTATTTTCAACATTTTCACCGGTTTCACAGTATTTGACGGTTTTTTTCTTTTCATCACAGCTCAGCTRATAATAAAATGTACAAACCCTGCTTATTGACTTTTCTTTTACTGTACCTCTGTCTGTGTCGCTGTTTCCCTCTGTGTCTGTTCTTCTCTGACTGGTGGTTGGAGACAGTAGTCATGCATTTTGGTCCAGTCGTGAAGGAGGAGGGNGGTATACACTATATAAAGTATTTTTCTTGTTAACATGAGTATAGTCTTTTTATTTGTCCTGATCGGTAAAAATAATAATAATAAAAAATAAAATTCGCAGTATCTTTTTTAGTTTTATAATGTCACCTCCACTGGCCGTAAAAGTTCCAGATAAGGCCTTGAAAAGGGCCACAGACCACCAGTTGATAATCACAGTTGTAGCTTATTTTGCGGCTCTGGACACGTTTTATTACTGTATCAGTAGCAGAAATGGCTCTTTTGATTGTAAAGGTTGCAGACCCCTGATCTAAATTATTCATCTGTGAAGAAATTGCTTTACGTTAACACAAAGGTTGCTTTTTTGGATACTTTAGCGCAGATGGAAGCACCTATTGGTAATCGGATCTGACGCAGCAATTGTGTTACTCACATGATTGATCACGTTAATGAGAAGCTGTTCCTGCCTTTTGAGAATAAAAACGGCCAAAACTCTCTAACACAGAAGAATAAACACAAATTACACACATAAAGCCAATTTTCACCTCACCCAGTGTGTTTTTTCCTCATTTAGCCAAGGCAGCTAGTTTAGTTTATTTCAGCACCTAATGGTGGTAATTAGAGTTCAGCATTGCCTCTTTTATCACCTTTTGAAAAAGTTTAATGAACAGTTTCAGTTTAGAAACTTGGATGAAAATACAGGTAATGTTAGATTTATCTTTTTAGTAGCTGTTGTCTCAGTGAAATGTGTGCTAGCTCACTTAGATAACAAAAGTTATTCAAAACATTAAATGCATAAAGTGAGCATTCATGTGATCCATTTTTTAATTTCTGAAGCTGTTAATCAGAATATTTGTATTGTGCACAAAGAGAAGCAAGTATTTCAAAGAGGTGTAAGAAAACATTGATACTAGAGGCACCGATATGAAAATTTCAGCCGATATCGATATTTGATATTAATATTGCTGATAAAGCCAATAACCGATATTTACTGATATTACACAAACTCACAAACTATAAACACAAACGGCAACAAGCAGGAAATCAATATTAAACATTATCAGCTTTGGCTGTGTATTGGCAAGAATTTGGCGATACGATACATATCATGACAGAGGGGTCACAACTCACGATACGATATATCCCGATATATTGCGATACTGTAAGCAAGATGATATATTGCGATATATTGCGATTTTTTTGTCCAAAAATTCTAGTAAATAAAAACCTCAATAGGAAAAAAATGAAAAACCAAAATTCATTGTCTCAGAAAATTCTAATATCACATACAGTAGACATGCTTTTGATACATTTAGCTG